GGGGGTGGGGGTGGGGGTGGGGACAAGGGATATGACATAAAAAGATGGAGCAAGGCTGAAGGGACGACTAAGAGCTAAGACAACTCGTTAACGTATCTTTCTATGTTGTCTATTAACAAGAGTGTTTATGTGTTTATTTACCCCTGGAAAGGTGAGACCTTGAGAGGGTGGTGTTGGCCCTTCCATGTGTCCAGTGGGTTTTTATTTTAACATTATAGGTCAGGACCAGGGCTGTCGTAACTAAAGTACACACTGTACTGTCATCCAATAGTCTCACGAGCATTAAATACCCATTCTAATCTTTGTATTTTGCGGCTAACTATCAATAATAAATGGCTATCTGTACTACACTATCCTTTAGTATGAATGCGAGAGTTGGACTCAAAGACACAGAGAGAAGAGTAGATTCCGCTGAAATGTGGTATTTAAGGAGAAAACTCAGAGAGGAAAACAAATAGAAAATTAGAGCTCCAAATGGCAAGTAAGTTGTGAAAGAGCCATTATCAGAACCATCAGAAAAAGGCAATTGAGATTCTTTGGCCACGTAATAAGATCAAAAATGGACTAAAGGAACTGCTGCTGTGTGGAAAGATAGAAGGAAAGACGAGCAGAGGAAGACAAAGAACAACATACACAGATGGCCAGAACAACTTTGCAAAGAATAACACACAAAGAAAAACCGAGCTGATCAAGAAGACTGACAACAGGAAGGAATGAGGTACCATGATCGTCAATGTCTGCTCCAAACCTGACACCTGAAGAAGAAGAAGAAGTACATGTACTACATTATCATATCGATGTAGGCGCCCCATAAGCTCAAATGTTATCAACTGCACTATGGAGCTAATGACCCCGGTCTGAAGTCCATCCAGACTGGGCGATCTTGAAGAGTTCTAGAGTTCTGAAGGTTCTCAACCCATTTGGCACGATCCAATTGGAGACGGACGTAAATGTTGGAGGTCTTGCCTCTTAGGTAACATGATAAAAATATTAGAACCGGAATTATACCAACAATTACTGTTTATATATCTATGTAGGCACGGCTCCAAAGGTCTACTTTGCCCGAGGTTCCATAATGCCGTTACGATCATACTCGCTGGAATATTCTCCTCTCTTGTTATGACTGGGAATAACGCTTCTTTCGACATCGTTTCGATTTTTTTTCTTTTTTCGGGGG